AAGTAATTCTGCCAAATTCCTGATGATAGTTCATTTTAAGCATTTTATGCGTACTTGAAGCTCAGACTGAATTTGTGTTTTCTCCACCAGCAGACTCTAACCACGTTGGAGTTTTCTTCCTTCTAAGGCAAACTTCTGAATCAGCAGCTTGTAATCATCTGGAAGCCTTTTCCTGTCATTGTTGCTAGCAGCTAGATATAGAAGTTGGTTCTTCCCTTCTGAAAAGGCTCTTATATTAATTATTAGAAACTGTTTTTCCGTCTAATCTCATGTTCATGTAAATATTGTGAATGTTGATTTCTGAAGTCCTGGTCAGATACAGCAGCAAAAATGCAGACAATGAAACAGATGGCTTTAATATTGGTGTCTCCCCTCAGACATCTGAGCATCTGAGGTCCTTCTGCAGTGTCTGGTCTGATTCAGAATTCAGCACTGCACTGGTTCTTGGGGTTATGTTCTGGTTGGAGTTTGTCTTTTGGGGGTGAGGGTGGGAGGGTGTCTTAGCCATTTACTCATCTCTATGAGCACTCGTGTTTTTGCCTCTCGCTGACTTGCCTCTGTGATTTGATTATCTGAGCTTTTGTTCTTTAAGTGAGTGAGTAGAAGGTATTCTGCTAGGAATTACGTTTTACGCATCCCCTCAGGACCAAAAATCCTGGGCCACAATTAAAGTGGAGTCCAAGCATATGCAGCATGACATTCTTTCATCTACCCCACCCCAACCCTTTCTTTTTATTTCCTTTCTATTCCTTCCTTCTAAAAAGTCTACTCCATTCCCTCAGGATTTCAGCCTTATTAACTAGGGCTTGGCACACTTCATAGTAATTATTTCTTTGAGTTTTCTAGAAGTATGGACTATTTTCTCAATTCTTATTTTCCAACTTTCAGCTAGTGTGGAAAACTATTGGCTTATTGTTATAGTAGTAATGAATACATCAAAGAAAAATTTTCACAGTTATCATGTAAACATCCTAATAACATCAGTCCAGCTGTGCTCTCCGGAGACCTTGGGTTCCCATTGTCTTGTGCAGAGTAATAAGTGGAATTGAGTTTCTTTTTTGAATATCATGGAAGAGGCGTGTTTCTGGCTTTAGCAGCTTGGATGTCTGCTTTTGAAGCTTCAGCTGGCATATCTTCCTTGCAACAGCTGCAGTCATGAAGTTGTGCATCTGGCAGCCTGTTGATGTCTATCTGAAAAGCCACATTCTGCTTCTTAGCCCCCTATCACCTGGTCTTACAGAAAAAGACAAAAGGAATGCATTTGAGGATTCAATTCTGTATTGTGATAACAACAGGAGAACATGTACTGCAGAGGTATCCTAACAGGGAAAACGAGTGGAAGACAATGCAGGCTGCTACACTGATGGCAGTGGAATGGCAGCAGATATGCCAAATAGTTGAATATTTTGTGGAATATATTCTATTTCTGGTAATTATTGGCAGAGCTAACTGTCGAAATAAATTTATATGAAAAGTTCACAACTTGCAGCCTGTGCTTACAACAATTAAACTTGTGTAAATTACTTTATCAATTAATGCTTTTGGTGGTTATTGAGGGCTGTCACAGTTGCAAGATTAAGCCTGTAAGCACTTCTTCAGAACAGCTCAGATCCTGAGCTGGGCTCTGTACTGTGAATAGACATAAATTGCAATGCAGATGCTTTATTCCTTCCTACTTATTTTCTCTTTATTCACTCCAGAATACTTTGGCCAAGCGTATTTGATAAGTGAAAATGTCACTAGGATCGAAAACAGTAAAGAAGCGAAGGATTTCATGGTGCTTTTAAGTAGGTAGGAACTATCTCAATTGGAAATTGTTGGACTGAGTATCTCTGCCATTGGAGATACTCAGAAGCCATCTGGACATGGTCCTGGGCAGTTGGCTCTAGGTGACCCTGCTTGGGCTGGATGGTTGAACTAGATGACCCCAGAGGTCCCTTCCAGCCTCAGCCATTCTATGATTCTGTGAACCACTTTAAGATACTTTGCCAATTTCTTTCTTTAAATTCCGCAAATTGTGAACACCTGAATTTATGCAAGTCTGTGTGCTGAACTGCAGATTATACCTCTATGTTGCTTAACTTTGGAGTTTTCATGAAGCTGTGATGTGTGATGAAGCATAAAGGTTTCAGGTGGGCATTTTCCTGACACTGCCCTCTCTCTCCCTCTCCTCCCTTCCCGCCACCCAACCTAAAACCCAACTCCAATCCACCAAGATGGTTATTTCCCTTTTTACTTTGGTAATCTTTGAAAAAATTGAATCAGAAGAGAGCTTGAAGTCATCTGACTTAAGCTGCTTCTCAGAGCAGAGCATCTTCAAAGGCAGATCAGGTTGCTCAGGGAATTGTCCAGGTCAATTTTGGATTTGCAAGGATGGAGATTCCACCGCCTTTCTGGAGCCGAGTTGCAGAGTTTGTTACACTCCTCCTTAACATGCTGTTCCTTTGTGCTCAGCTGGAATTTCCCTTGCTGTTACTTGTGACTGTTACTTCCTGAGCGTCCATAGCATGCCTCTGAGAAGTCTGTCCTTGGCTGCTCTGTGTTCCTTCAAACAGTGGGAGACTGTTGAGGTCCACTCTGTCCCTTCACTTTTTCTTCTGGCTAAAGTTCCCTTAGCTTTTTCTTGCAGGTCATGTGCCTTCATCCACAGTGGCCCTCCTCTGCTCTCTGTCCAATTCATTAGTGCCACTCTTGTATTGGGGAACCAAAACGGGACACAATATTCCAGGTGTGATCTCAAAAGTCCCAGGTAAGGGGAATAATCACTTGTCTTGACCTCCTGGTTGCACTCTTGATAGTGCAATCAAACTGCCATTAGTCCACATCACTGCGAGGGAACTCTAAATTTTTCTCTGCATGTGTCTTCTGTATTGCATGCCTGGTGCAGGATATTTGAAATCTAACACTTTGGGGCCTGTCATTGTTGATAGGTTTGTTTGATTTATGACGTAGAAGTGCTAAATGACTCTTATATTGAATTGTTAGAACTTGTTTGTTTGTTATGTGTTTTTTTTTTTTAAAAAAAAAAAGGCATTGTGGTCATAAATTCAAGATACTGAGCTTTCTGGCTGGTTTAGAAATCTTATTTTCCCCCAAATGTCCTAGGCAAACCAGTTGCTGCTTCAACCATACAATTTGGTAATAAATACTAACAGTTGGTAACATCTTTATGACTTTAAACAAGACTTTTTTTTTTTTTCCCCATGGAGCATTTCTTGTGTAACAAAACGTATCAGAGGAGCTTTCTTTCTGATTGTTGAGAGGTTGCCTATATGACCCCTAATCTGTGCAGTTTTGGCGCAGTGGCTCAGCCTACTGTGGGCTAACATTTATGAGCAGTCAAATAAAAGGAAAGCACGTATTCCTGGCACTGTCAGGTCAGTTTGGCAGAGACAAGCTGCATAAGTGCTCAAACATGTTGGCTTGTAGAAATAACTTTCTGACTTGGAAAGGATGGGTCTATGAGTGATGTAGAACTAGTGCACACAAGTTTTTAAAGGAACTTTGTTTGATCAGTGCTTCTTATCTGTCAGAAAATGAGCAGAATTGCATTCATAAGTGCTTACTCACATCCTACATCCTTAAAAATCAAGAGAAAAGAATGATTGGATTGTGATAGTAGGAGACCAGAGAAGAGATTTTAGTGGTTGGTTATTGCATTTTTGTGGCTGGAAACATTCAAAGGCTTCACAAACGTAATTAGCATTGCAAACAGAATACATGCAAGTTTATAGCAGTTTTCTCTGTGTTAGTGTATATTTTTTGTTTATTTGCTTCTGAGACCTATGTAATTTCAGGACTTGTCTCCTCACTGCTTGCTGTTTCTTTGCCTGATGTGTTTATGTATCCCTGGAGAATGAAAGATAGAAACCACTTACATTTGAGCCAAACAAAACAGAATTTGTCTCCTGTCAAAGGTTAGAAAAGGGACAAACTTGCTCTGTTTCTTTCTTTTTCTCCCTTCCTTCTACCCTAATAATAATAAAACGAAAAACCCAACTTCTTAACTGTATTGATTAAGCAGAAGCCTTACAGCAGTTGAAGGCTAGAAATTTACACTATCTACACCAGTTTAACTGGAATTGGAATCTGCCCTTGTTTCCCTTGTGTGTCATCTTGTCTCGAATTCAGGAGAGAAATAAATGACAGGGAGTACAGTTTATTGGAGAAGAGATATTTGGAGACAAGGCACGGTTTGTGGCCTCTCGTATCTGAGAGGCATAAGCTTTTTACCATGTCAAATGTCACCTGTCATTCCAATGCATGTTTGTAGTATATTAAGCACTTCAAATTGTATATTGCCTTAACTTCTGTACAGTAAAGAGATTGCTCATCATTCATGCACTGTTGAAAAAGGGCAGCCTTCCATCTCTTCAGAGTAACTGTAACCAGGAAAAGAAATGAACAGTATTATAAATACAGGGATTTTTTAAACCACTTGAGACTTGCTGACAGTGAATGTTTAGCTTTGGTTTTGTTCAGTGTTCAAGATTATCCTCAGTGACTGATTTTTGATGGTCTTCAGGACTCTGATGAACGAGACGTGTTGTGGTTGTGTGTAATGGACATGCTAGCTCTCTTCTTAGGTGTGTGTTTGATGGAGTTTTACTCAGTAGTTCAGGAGATGAGAAAAAAGGATGAAAGACTTCAATATTGTACAAAGACCAGAGTTGCAGGCTGCAAGATTTGAGAGTTTGATCTAGATGCACAAAGCCAACCAAAATCCATAGCCTTATTTAACAAAGAAAACATATACTTTAGGCAGTAGGCATTAGATACGTGAAGCATGCTTTTGAATTTTGGTCTGTTTACATGCATGCAACACTTCTATGCTGGTACCTCACCCCCTTTTAAGGGTAAGTTTATCAGCAAGGTGCAAAGAATTATACAGATGGTGGGGGTTTTTTTCATTTTTGGTTTGTAGAAACTAGATCAATAATAAAATAACATAATTCAGGTGATACTTTGTGATAAACTGCTTTTGTTTTTATTCCTAACAGTACATCCTTTCGGGCTCTGATGACTTCAATTTGTATATGTGGAGGATTCCTCCAGATCCAGAAGCAGGTAAGCTTCCTTGTTGTGGAATTTGGGGAAGGAGGAGGCAGGTGTCTGACAAGTACTAGTTTGTTTTTTTTTTAAAAATTGCTGTTCTCACTCAGCCTCTGAATTTAGAGTAGTTCTGATGAAAGCTTGATGAGGAGAGTTTTCAAATGCCTAATCCGGTCTATGGAAAACAATGGACAATGCCATTTGAATCTTGTATCATACTGATTTTCTTTTTGTTTCTCTTCTCGTATAATGGTCATTTAAATCTTCTAGGTAAGCTTATGAAGAGAAAGAGCTGTGGTGGGAGCAGCGTGTGCCTTTCCTCCCTCTTGTCTACCAATGCTGCTGCTTCTAAACTGATCTGAGTTCACTGAAGAACTTAGGATCTGTTACTAAGAAATTTAATCTCATAATGAAGTTTGCAGCATCAAATGTTGCTGGGTTCACAGGCTGCTTTTTACAGCTCCAGTGCATTGGCTTCTCCTCTTTCTTTCCTCTTACACCAAAACCCTCACACCGATTTCCAATGCAGAGCAGTTAACGCTCTTTTATTTTGAGTGGAGAAGCACTCTCAGCTGGTGGAAATGACCACTTTTGACTCATTTCTGACCCTTTCCCATGCTGGGAATTAGCAGACATGCTAAGCAAGTAGCACCAGCTCAACTCTGTGTGAAAGTGTAGGAGAGGGGTGTTAAAGTAAAGAAAAGCAGCAGTGTGTGTGAGATGTAACAGTAGTGTCGTAGATGCCACAGTTTGTCAGTGCTTAATTTGATATCGTCTAATATTGTGTAGGGTTTAGCAATAAGACATCATCCACTGCTATCTCTGAGCCACACAATGTCAGCCTATCTCCTCTGTTGAAACAAATTGCTATGCTCTTTTAAAAGGGTGTTGAACCTTGATTGAAAGACTCAAGACTCTAGGAAAATGTACTACCATTTCAATTTTTAATGGCTCTGACAGTTTAAACTGTTCATTTTAGTGGTATTAAGTACAACTGAGTGCTATCCTGTGGTATCAGGTGCTTTAGCAATAGTGAGAGCAAATTACAAGCTGTATTAAAGGTAAAATGAAAATATTTTGTTTCATTTTCAAAGGCTGTTAATCACAGCTACATAGCCCACAACTGAGAGGATTACTAGCCTCTAAAAGGATTGGTTAACAGCAGGGTTTTGAGGAAAATGTCATTGTAATTTTGGATTGCTTATTTAAACAGCATTTGATGTTGCAGTCCAGGAGTCCTGAAGATGGTCCTGCTAAATATACCAGTACCTTGGCCTTCTGTCTTTGTGTAGGGTTTATAGAAACTTTGCTCTGCTGTCCTTTTAATTTGTATGATTTCCTTTTATATTTGACACTGTTTTACTACTACTTATGGAATTTCCTCTTAGTTAAAATGAAGGTTACATATGTTTAGATTAGTTACTTATAGATAAGTTTTTGTGTGGACTGTAGAATTATATTTTATGCATGTTACTATACTTGTCCTGACTCCATATGTAAATTCTGGATTTGGGATTTTTTGTTTATCTGACTGTGATGCTCCTGAAAACTTTTTTTCCCAGATAGCTGCAGACAAGACTTTTGAGCAAAGAGCGATAGCTGGAATTGCCACAAAATGATGTCATATGTGTTTTGGTCAGCTTTCTTGTTTCTAGTTCTTGTAACTTGAGAAAGGATGTCAGTAAACTTGCAACATTTCAGTTACAAAAGTAATTACTTAATGTCAAGTGCCATCAGTGATTGCTTAATAGGATAAGATCCTCTAGTGGGAAGGTGTATGTCTTAGTCTCTTGTAACTTGCGCAATTCTCTTACTGAAGCATTGTAGTGAAACTCATGAGTTTTGTTTTGTTAGACCTAAAGATTCGGCTTCTGTGGCAAATAATTCATTGGCCATCCAAATCGTTTGTGATAGGCTTATGGAAGCTCTTCTTTTCTTCATTCAGCTCTTCTTGAAGGGTTGCACCTGTTTTGAATGTGATGCAACATCCTTTCTTAAATCTCATCCCATGGTTCAGAATAATTCTTCAGCTAGAGAGGTTGCTGTGCTTCCTTCTTGGAGAAAGTGTCTTGCTCTTTCTGGAGACCTTGTAAGGCTTCTGCTTCAATGGAAAACTTGTTTTCATGTTCTAGCTTAAAATAGGAATGTCTTTGGGTCTGTGATCTGAGGGTTGGAATGCGATCTTTCATTGAAAATATTGTACAAACTAGACAGGATGATGTAATGTCCTTTACTGTTGGTTGGTATTTTAAATAAAAATATCTAACTGATTTCTACCTTCTGGTTGAATTCAGACATTGTGTCACTATAAATATTTATTATACAATTCCCTTAAATTATATCAACTACTTGCAAATAGCAACTTTTTTGCGAGTGTACATCTTTTTACAGCACTGCATCCTTAAAAACAACCCTGAAATAGATTATTTTTCTTAAGTACAGGTGCAGCAAGTAGTAGCTATCTAACAGCATTACTACAAAAAGGTGAAGAAAAGTGGGAAGAAATACACAAGAAAGTCAGACAATTGCAAACATATTTCAAGTTGGAGGAATGTGGTTACCTGTGTTGGTGTTTTGACAGGAAAATGGAAAAATTCTGCTGGCTTTTTCCAAATAATCATTATTTAGAAGTGTCCTCCCAGTAGGTTGTATTGAGTCATTCCTCCTCATCTGGAAACTCTACCAGCGGTTTTGTTTGGTCCAGCTATTAAACAAAATTTACTTCGGGCCAGGAGGTCTGTGAAAAAAGGTATGTCATAAATTGCTTAGGAAGCTGTTCTGTGGAAAAGTTTTATTGGCTAACTCCTTCCACAATCTTAGATTATTCTGAATAGGCCAGGATTTCCTATGCCAGAAGGTTGATTGGTTTTTTACCACCTTTTGTTCTTTCTTGAAGATGGAATAGTTTGCTCATTTTTCCACTTCCTTCTCCATCCAAGTACTACTCAGCTTTCCACTGTGCTTCAGAAGTAATTGCCAATTGTTTGGTGAATTCGTTAGGCAATTTCCTCTTTAAAATATATATATCAGTTTTCTTGCGAGGCAGAGTTTCTAGCAAAATTAATACATTAGTCTGGCAGAAGAAAAGTAGTCCTCAGTCTCCACAGCTCTTACTTGACTCCAAGGCAAGCTAGAAGTGAGAAGAGACATTTGCTCTACATGACCTGCCCAGCAAGACTGTTAACATTTAAGCATTTTGGGCAGTATTTAAACCTAACTCCCATAAACGTGGTCTCTTAGCTGGTAATGAATCCCTGTTCAAGACAGAACCTGACATGTCTTGTGGGGTAATAGAGGGCTTGGTAGACCAAATGTTTTGCCAAGTGGAATTTACATTCCTCACCCACTACTCTGAATCATCTTTGCAACTCAGAGCTTGTCTCTTACTTTTGAAATATTGCTCAAAGATGTTATGAAGGATACAATATTTATTTGCGATTGAGAAAACAGTTGGGGATCCTTCAGTTTATGTGAGCAGGCTGTCACCAGACTTCTGAAAAACTTCACCAAATCACAACAGCAAACTGCGTTTCAAAACCTTTTTAGTTCTGTAACTGCTAGCCAGAAACTAACTGCTAGCCTGTCATTGTGGTCCAATTACTAAACTCATTGCACTATTCTTTAGCAGAACTGATGCAATTTTTCTTCCCTTTTTTTTTCTCCTCATTGGTCATTCTAAATGCAGGCACCTCTTTAGGCTTGAAGAATTCAGCAACAGATCTTTTCACAACATTTGAACAGGATTATCTCATTGGAGACAGCTTGTGGTTTAAGTTCTTAAAGTTGCAGGCTGATAAGTGAAGATGAATAATAGATGATTAAGTGTTTCTTAATGCCTTTAGCTATTTTTGATATTTTTCTGTATGTGCACACATGCATATATATACACACACATCAGTTGGGTTGGGACAGGGGGAAGCCATCCGGCCCACTGGGGCACATGCTCTGGAAAGTTTGATTTTTTTAAAAAAAAAAAATTTTTTTTTCGGAGACATGGTCTTGGGTTCTAAACTGTTTTACTTTTAGGACTGTGCTTTATCTCCTCCTTCAGGTCAGTGTTGACCATAGTGTGCTATGGAACAGTTGTTCAGAGTAAGTGGTGAGGCAGTGTAGAAGAGATTCTTGTATTCAGTGGAATTTAGACTGGCTTCTGGGGTTTTTCTCACCCTGGATTTGATGTGGCCAAAGTCAGTTTTACCTGTGCTGCTGAGAAACCTTGAAGTTGCTCTGGCTGCAGATTCCAGACCCCACTAGAAGGGATGCTACAGGGCTCTGTGCTCTCAGGGCAAGAGCGCTTGTTTTTAAATCTTGCTTCAATACAGACAGGTCTCAGGAGCAAAGCCCTCTGCTGCCATGCAATTGTATGAAACAGTACAGGTGTGTGAGTGACCAGAGAGAGGCTTTTTAAGGAATCTAAACATAAGCTGCACTGAAGGCAGAGGCCCTATATGCTGTGCATATTTGCTTGCATTGTGCTGTGCATTTGCCTTCCAAACTATGGTATCTCTCTTTTGTTAGTACATCATGACCTCACAGAATTCAAATGCAGAACAGTGGTCTATGGTCTAAATGTGTCCTGGATTATTACTAATGAAAACGAAATTAATTTTAAATGAGTTTTCTACTGTAGTGCCAAGTACTACAGTGGAATGATATGCTATGGCACACTGGCAGCAGCTGCAAATATCTGTTTCTTCTCAGGAGTTTTCAGCACTTTGAGTAATTCATAAGGCTTGTATGAAGTTATGCTTTAGTCTGTGGAACGTCTTTCTACCTTATATGAACAACCAGTGGGACTTCTTTTTCAGTGTCCTAGATAGCAAGGACTTCTTAATGAGGTCATTTAATTCCTCTGTTACAGAGCCAGTGGAGGATTGTTCCTTATCCTAGCAAGTTATACGGTGCTTTGACAGTTTTTTAACTGTTTGGAACAATGCAGCTTCCATTATTTTAGAGGCTCTTCTACACTGTTACAGATTTTCTGCACTAGGGCACTTTTCCTAATAATCTGTCAC